TTTTAAAAAAATGTACTTTTTTCTTTTCACTGCAACCCCTATCTTTGAGTCAATACACGGGACATCAAAATTCATTTCAGAGCTATGATTTCAAGTATCTTATTTAGATCCCTGGAATCCGAAAATCATATGTGCCTAAATGACTAGAATCAACGCGCCCTAATCTTCATATTTTTGACGATCAAAATAGCTTACAAATGTCTTATTGATCGATTCGTTTCTTTATTTTAAACTAAATCTTCATAATCATTTCACAAAATTATGCAGAAAAATAATACTAATATATCTAATTAAATAATGAATTATTCCACACGTGCAAGTGCTTGCTCGGGAGATTTGTTGCGTTAATGATGATTGCACACATAGAATCACTGTTGGTGTTCGTAAATCAACTATGTACATTCTTTTTTTGTTGATAAAACTTGTTGCGCTTATAGCGATTATTAGCACGCGGCCTCAAATGTATTCGATTATTAAGAACAGTTGTCGGATAAACTAAATGAAAATTTGTAATAATTTTATTTTTAACTAATGGTGCATGACATCGTGCCTTAAGGCAAATGGCAGAACCTCCCGTAACTAAAACTAAACTTTGAAAAAAAAACTTTGCAAAACTTAGAAATTAGATTTTTAAGAAAAAAATGACTTTTGTGCACTTTTTGCCCCGTAAACCTAAAACCTAAATTCCATTTTTGGCACTTTTTGCCCCGTATCTTCGAAACGGCTAGCCCTGCCTTTGCCGAAAACTAATCAGCACGTATTCTTATCAGTAGGACTCGAATGTTTTTTTGAGTTATTCAAATCGGTTGATTTGCGTTCGCGAAATCGTCGACGATAATTTGTATCCGCAAACGCACACGCACACGCACACATACACATCATTTTTTTTCTAAGCCTTTCATATGCCAAAATGTTCAGAAATGTAAAGATATATAAAAAATTTCATTTTGGATATTTTTGCGACTTCTATAACTTACCCTACGGGAAGTTTATAAATAATACAAATAGAAAGAGAGCGATCCGAGATCATATTATATTTAACTCAAATCTCATTAAATACTAGATGGTTTACAAGTCAATTAGAATAAGAAATGCCTAGCTAATACCAATAGTACTTAACAATACATCATAAACTATATTAAATATTAGTCCCGGCAAATCCCCGCGTCATAATCCATTATGATTAGAATATCAAAAATAACAAATGGTCTTCACCACTTCTATTCGGTCAATTGTTCAATTCGTAATCCCAATAATCCATAATAAAACATGTATCAACTATATCCTAACTCCATACTTTACTAACATATAAGGCACACAAATATCGATTCGAATTCTCTAAACACGCCATTGTTTTCAATAGCACTATATCAATTTAATGAATCACTATTGTTACGTTCTGCGGTAAAGCATTAATGAATGACTTCTCAATAAAAGCAATTAACCAGACACACGAAATAACGATCGTTATCTGAATTAATCCGAACGTTGCTGTCAAAATTCGTGATATTTCACTTTTGTTCTGCGGTAACGCCAATTAGGTTCAAAAATTTGCGAATCCATGCCGTACTATTAATTTAAAAAATGCCGTTCGGCACATTTTTTGTGAATGAAACACTTCGCTAATTTAGTGAAGGGTAAAGATAACGGAGTATAAACAAAGATATAGAAGATAAGAAAATTTATATGAGGAATTTTTAATATTTTTCGCAAAATATTACATATATAAATATTACATATATACTTTGAATAATTGATCAAGCAAAAAAAAATCATCAGCTAAGTCAGTAACGTCTAATTGATGAATGATATATTATTGCTAATAATTTCTTTATATAATTATTAAATAAACACAATGAAATGTACAAAAACTTTAATTTGAAATATTATATTGTACTCGTTCATTTTCCGTCTAAATACCACCATTCCTGTTACAACCTTAAAATATAGTGAACTTCAATGCTACTGAACAGTATTCGCAATTATTTTCTTCGATAACAACTTTTCAACTAAAGTGATAATATATTCATAGAATTTAAAACTGGCTATTGAGGTATGGTAACTAACCTAATGGTCCATTAAACTATATAATATTATTTATATCTTATGAAACAGCATAAACTGTGCCGGAATGCACAAATGCCGTTGCGCTTTCGATCAATTAAAAGTTACTAGAAACAATTTATATATATTTTATATACGAGGTCTGTTCAAAAAGTACCCGGAATTTTCGTTTTTTCAAAAAAATATTTATTTATTCGTCTACATTAATGTGGTCCCCTTCAAAGTAGTCCCCCCCAGATATAATACACTTATGCCAGCGTTTTTTCCAATTTTCGAAGCACCCTTGATATTCACTTTTTGATATGTCCTTGAGCACACTCAGCGATTTTCTTCAATCGAGGAAAACCGCCGTCCTTTCATGGGTCTCTTCAACTTTGGGAATAGGAAAAAGTCACACGGAGCCATATCTGGTAAATTTTTGCACTTTGCAACACTTTATTTCATTTTTTACGCAAAATTTAATACAAATTCTTTGACTTTTCAATTCTTCCATTGTAAAAATCGCCGAGCTCAGAAAAACACGTCGAACCTTAGCGACTACCACAGACAAAGTAAACAGTGAATATAGCTGAAAATTTCATCATACTTTAGGAGCATGTATACCAACACAATAAAAAAAAATTTTGACAATCAGACACTCCAGACCCGCGAAATTTAATTATTAGTAATTCCGGGTACTTTTTGAACAGACCTCGTATATATATATATATATATATATATATATATATATATATATATTTTTGAATTACTTCTCATTTTCAAAAAACAGCAAAATATAGCAAAATTACATCGATAGATAAACCGTCAAAAAGAATTGTCAGTAAATTTATTCAAATTTAATGGGCTCACTTTCAAATTAATAATTCAATTAAAACATGACAAGACATATTTGTATTTTAAGCTTGAAAGTATTATAAGAGTATAAGATAATATGACATGCAAATATAAAAAAAGAGTGCGCGTAAGGTTCACACGCCATTGACTTATGGTATTTTTTTTTTACTTTTTCGCTGGCGATCTAATCTCATTCTTTAAACAGCTGTAATATCTGTTTTGCCCAAAAATATTTTCCATGTCAATAACTTCAAAGATTTATAGAAACTACGAATAATATAGAAATTATTTCAATAAACTTATGTTTCATACACGGCGCAAATGCTGCTGTTTTATTATTTTCATTTTAATTATTTACGGGGGACAGGGTTAAATATTCTTCTGATTCAGGCATTTTTCATTAAATCAAGATTTGTACTACGATGTAATTTTAAAATGTTTATTTATCTATGCCGATTTCCTTGTTGATATCAGTACGCATACAACGTTGACGCCGGTACGCATACAACGACATATCTCTATTCACATACGCGACGACTAATCACAATCGACCCGTATAGAAATGATATCATCGAGAGCGAATGACGAATCATTGGCTCGACTCTTATCTTATCTTATCTGCCGCAACGCACTTCCGTTGCATTTGTACGGATGTACACCCTAGTCGCGCCCAAACTTTAATAATTAATATAAGTAGCAATAATTAGTATAAGTAGGTTGACCAATGTTTAGTCATGTTTTTCCTTAAATTATTGAATTGAATGTAAGCTCATCAAACCGTATTAAATTTGACTCACAAAATGAAGTTAAATAAGTTTCCAGAAATTGATTCAATCTATCACGATAAAACTCATCAGTATTACAGAAATTTTAATAATAAATTCATCACGTAGAGATAAGGTTGCTGTCTATAAAAAAGCCACGACGCCATAATAGTTCATAAAACTCGTTAAGTTCTGATTTCCGTTAAATATATAAAAAAATATTGCGATATTAGTAGAATATTGAAAAGAACTAGTTTTCATAAATAAACCCAGGGCCGGATTTAGAAATTTGGCGCCCTGGGGCACTGACAAAAATGCCGCCCCATTCCTGAAATTTTACGAACTTTCGAACTTTTTTTAAAGCAATTGCGCTGCTTCAGCTGCGTAGGGACAAAATATAGAAGCGCGTAAGCGCCTCGTCGCAGTCCAACGGATAAACAATGTTACAGAACGCATATAAATGTATACTTATTATTATAATATCTTTAAAACATCTAATAATAGATAATTATATGTGCATATGTCTTATGTCCGCCAAATGTTTCTTTTTCAAGTTTTTTATTGGATCATCGAAACCGCTAAACCTGCCCCCAACAAATTAAAGCAGTTATTTATTCTGTAATTTTTTTTGAATGATATTGGACGCTTTTTTTCTCAAAAACTGAATTATCATTTTTGGAATTTGGAATAACTAATCAGCACGTCTCCTTATCAATAGGAATTGAATCATTTAAATCGGTTGATCCGTGTTCTCGAAATCGACTTGAATAATTAAAAAATATTAGATTTGTATTGATGGGGAGACGTGCTGATTAGCTTTTGGCACAGACAATTACAAAAAATGGTAATTGAGTTTCGATAATTCTTCTCTGAAACAGCTACGCAGCGCGACTGCTTTGCAAAAAGTTCATCAATTTTCAATTTTTGAAAAATTTCAATTTACAAAAAATGTGCTTTAAAAGTCTTTTTTCTCATTTTTTAAAAAAATTGAAAGCTCTTTAAAAAATGAAATTTTCAGTACGGGATGTTTCAGTAATTTGTCTTAAGGCACAACGCCATGAGTCACTTGTTTAAATTTTTTTTCGACGCTATAAGCTTGGAAGTGCACAAATTCATCATTTTAAGAGGGCTCGAGAACTGAAGAACATATTATTCTTAACCTTTCACTCTTTCAGCTTGTTTACGGATTTTTATATTAGCCAAATTGCCAAATTTGATAACTTATTAACCAATTTGATAATTTACGTTCGGAGAGGGAGGCAAGGCAAATTAATAAATTTTAGTTATCGGTTATTTCAACCCAAATTTTGCATTGCAATTGTATTATGTTTTGTTAATTATATTTCTTGAAATAAAAAATGTTGTTAAAAAAAAGTTGATTATATTGTATAGAATTTTTTTTTTACTATCCAAATTTTGGCGCCTCCTAAAATTTGCCGCCCTGGGCAGTAGCCCCGATTGCCCCTACTGTAAATCCAGCACTGAATAAACCAAATTGTGAATTGTAAAGTATTAATTCAATTGCATCGCTGTACGTGTCTTCCATTAAATTTAATAATTAATATTGCATTACCAATCCGAGATAAATCTAATCGTTATCGTAGCAAATAGAATTCGTCGTATTTACATATGTGTAATAATAAAACGCATTAACTCGTAACACCATATTACGTTAATTCATTCAGTCAAGATCAGCTAGTGTGTAATATAAAAGCAAACAACGGCCGCGAGCAAGACGCACGCTATTTAATCGCTTCGGTTAATTCCACTTTAATTGCTTCGCATGTAAGAAATATTATTCTTTAATGCCAAATTATTCTGGTATTAAGCCGCATTCATACCGAAAGCATATGCATTGCGGAAATAATTTACATTGCCTAGATTATGCTTAAGAAAAAGTATCATATTAATCTTCTTATGGAAAAACTAGATTTTAAAGCGTTCAAGTGATGAAGCTTTGACAAAAATTAACAAGATTTGTAAAATTTAATTTCTGTGAAATTATTGGTTTTTACAAAATGTAGCTAGCGTGAATTAATTCTCAAATACTTTGCATAATTAAATATGTTACAGAACAAAATTTATTAACCCTGATTCCTATCTCATTCGAAAAGAGCAGTGAAATATTAAAATTTCAACGATAGATAAACAGCAAAAAAAAAACTCTCACATTTGTTGTAATACTGATGAGTTTCATCGTGATAGATTAATTAAATCAATTTCTGAAAATTTATTTAGCTACATTTCCAAAAGTAGTAATTACAACCAAAATGTGAGCTCACTGCATTTAATTAACACACTAAAATTTTTCAATAATAATTATATTAACGCATACCTAACTACCCTTGTATCACAGATATATGTTCGATTTCTTTCGAACACTCATATATATTTTATATATTTATATACTTTTTTAATTATTAAACAAATAAAAATATCTGTTTTTAGCTTAATGACTAACCAATTCCAATCATTAGCTTGATGACTAACCAAATCAAACACTCAACACACATCAAAATTCGCCAAAAAGCTATTTTTTGAAAATTCATAAGTAGGTTCCTTGAAGAATTGGGGCAGTTTTTGTTATTATTTTTTACTGTGGTCCAAGAAATGTTATTCACGGTGATGGTTCCAAAGTTTAAATAAACAAAATTAATAGAAGTTAACCACAATCACATAAATATGGTCATAATTTCACCAAAGTTCCAGGTTGCACTTAAAAACGAGATCATTTTATTTTTTATTTTTTTTAGGATAACTAAGGTCAATCCTATCACCCCGTTTCAACTTGATGTCAAAATTTGGAACACCCTGCATATATATGCGACCTTTTTCCCACCAATTATTAATATATCATTAAAAACGTGAAATGTTTCAACTGAAAATTCGCTATAAATTATCTCAAATGCAATAAAGTATACGCCAGAAATAATAATCACTTGATATTATCTACATTCACTGATTGTGAGCGAAGTGCAGATATACCTATAAAAGTGTACTTATCTTAAATTTATATTAAGAGCTTGTAAAACTCAAGTAGCATATTAACACCTTTTATAGCGCTCTACTAGCTTCATTTGCTTTATGATGTTAAAATGATTATTACCCAACGAATTGATGCATAAAGAATCTTATTACGTGGCAAACCGTTTAAGTCATATTTTTAGCTGTAAAGGTAACAATGAATTATTAAATCTAGTTAAAAAAAGATAAAATATTCATTACATAGATTTTTGTGGAATAAATATATGATTGTTACATGAAGGAGGACGGCTAGGTTTTCAACACATTTCGTCATCACGAAGCAATATATTTTAGTAAACAATAATTTATGTAACAAAATAATTTTTTTTCTAGATCTGCAAATTACCATGAGCCTACTGGTACGTGTGACCTTTCTGATATGGATAGGATCACATTAGCTGGAACCAACGCTTTTCAAGAAATGGCAGGTAAGGTTTTCAAATGAAATTCAATTAATTAAAAAGTCTATTAGTACTTATTGTACAATGGCACTGCCTACAATTTAGATTAAAATTAGACAAAATGCAAGATCCATTAAAACTTGAGAATTAATCATTGAATAAATGGCTTAATCTGCACTGAAGAAGGAATATAATTCAGTATTTTTTTATAATATGAAATATTGTTGTAACAAAGCATTAGAACTGACATCACCATATGATTTTTCAAAGCTTTTATTCAATTCAAGGTAAATTAATTAGTGTTCCATTTTCCCACAGATATCGATTACTTGGAAAACAATTGTATCGAGGAGCCAACAAAACTATGTGAATTCAAACGTCTATCTGGGCGCATTTTGAAGACTGTAGACTCTGTATATCAAGATGTTTCCTCAGCTGAAGAGTGCCGTGATTTGTGCTTAAATTCGCCTTACAGGTATACTTTCGTTCAACTTCATATTAATAACGACTAAAGAAGTGAAATTAAGATATAAATCAATTAGCACTGATTAATTTGTTGCTATTACTACAAGAATAAAAATGTTTGAAGAAGATTGTTACTACAGCTTATTAACAAAATACTAATATATCAACGTTTCATATTTTTTTCATATTTTTTTCAAATTTTATTTATATGTATAGTCAACTACGATTATTTGCAACAACATGTAAATATACCATTACCAATAACTAAGAAAAAAAAAATTGCTGCATAAAATATATTCGTCAAATAGAGCTAGTATACTCTGCACGCCTTGCAGTCTACAATAATTCTTATTTATAATATTAATATGTGTTCGATTAAAATTGTTTCCGAAACAATTAAACTGTAAATGTAAGCTTCCTATATTCGAATATTTTTTATGAATAAATAAACTATTGTATGTAATAATTTATTAAAATACTGCATGGTATATCGAAAATTTTAATAAATTTAATATTTGATAATATTTCTAAATCATCGATGCTATCTAGTTCGCATATTGCCATATTATTTTAACATTTGTTCATATTGTTCAATAGTTTTCTGAAATATGACTATTACCCCTCGTAATACGCTGCAACTCCAACAATATTTACCCATTTTCTTAAAATGCTAACAAAAAATATTTCCAAACCCAATTGTTGAATTATAACTATTATAAATGATTAAAAATACAATCCAAATTGTTACTAATCTAATAACGAAAATATCATTCGTGTTATTAATTAAATTTTTCTACTTCAGATGCCACTCATACGACTACGGAGATACTGGTGAGATGGTCTGTCGTCTTAGCCATCACTCCAGAGCGACATTATCAGACATTCAGGTGAATATAGAGATATATTAGGACCAACTAATTATATAATAAGTTATTGCTTATATTGGATCATGTCTATAATGTTAATTGTATAGTTAACTTCAATATAATCTCTTAGGATCCCTATCTGAGCGTACCAGAAGCAGCAACTTACGAATTATCTTCCTGTTACAACGTGACTATCGAATGCCGATCCACAGACATGGTGGCTAAAATTCACACATCGAAATTATTTGACGGCAAAGTTTACGCTAAAGGCAGTCCTAATTCGTGCGTGGTCGATGTTAAACAATCTTTAGAATTCGAGCTAACGATGAAATACCAAGATTTAGAATGCAACGTACGACATAATGGAATGGGCAGGTAAATAAATTAGGATTTTGAGAATTATAAAATATGAATTCAAAAATTATGTTACATACATGTTATGTGAACATACTCAAGCAAATTAATTAATCAAGCTAATGTATTATTAATGTCCTCAGATACTTGAATGATGTAGTAATCCAACATCACGACACAATCGTCACGTCATCCGATTTAGGATTAGCGGTAACGTGTCAATATGACCTAACAAATAAAACCGTCGCAAATGATGTCGATTTAGGCGTTCACGGCGATACAGAACCTGCGCTATCTGAAGAAGTAATTGTAGACTCACCAAACGTTATCATGAAAGTAACGGCCAGAGATGGAAGCGACATGATGCAGAGCGCTGAAGTCGGAGATTCTCTTGCCTTACATTTTGAGATTTTAGACGAAAAGAGCCCATACGAAATATTCGTCCGAGAATTGATAGCAATGGACGGAGCAGACTCCGGAGAAATCACTTTGATTGATTCCGATGGTTGCCCTACAGATCAATTCATCATGGGACCGATTTATAAATCATTGATGTCGGAAAAGGTAATTCAAATATATGTTTTGAAATTGTAGTGTATACATTAGAACCGTACTACATCTCATGAATTGTAATTCTCCATTAGGTGTTGATATCGAATTTCGACGCTTTTAAATTTCCATCTTCGGAAGTTGTGCAATTCCGCGCCCTAGTTACGCCCTGTATGCCGACTTGCGCGCCCGTACAATGCGATACTGAAGAAGCCAGTACGGGAGACTCGAGATCTTTACTGTCTTATGGACGTCGTAGGAGAAGCATAAACGCTACTGGTATGAAATATTTACTATAAAAAATATTATAATCTCGGTTGAATAATGTGTTCATACAACATAGTCAATGAAAACAAATAAATAATCCGCGGTACTGAAAACAAATGTTGCTAAATTGCAACTTCAAATCAAGTCAAATTTTTCTGAAAATTTACAAATACAAATAATTAATGTTTTGATATGATAAGGGCGGTAAATATAAATGCAACATAAGTTATAATTTAATTCTATTCTTCCAACAGATTCCCGCATGAACAACAACAAACAACAACACGACGACATGCTGCTGATGCAGACTATTCACATCACCGACAAGTTCAATTTCGAGCGCCGGCAGCAACAAAACAATCAACATTCAACGTCGCGCGACAATGGCACCCAGAATATCAGTAGTGTTACAGATGACTTGTGCGTCAATGGCATGGGATTAATATTTGCTGGTGCAATATTCCTCGCGTTGCAAATGGCAATTGTCTCCATATGGACGGTCGTATGGCAATGCAAACGTAAGCAGAAATTAATCGACTCCGCCGATTGCGTGATCGTGCCCCCACAAAGTCGAATGTTCAGCCAGCACCGACCCCCAAACGGCAGCCTGAGTAGCGCGAGCTCAATTGGAAGCAACGTGCGCAAACTCTACACCGGCAACAATTTCAACCGGCAGCACTATTGAACCATGTCCCAGATTTGTGCAAGATCTCTCTACACGACGCGAACCCACATTGACAATCAAAAGACTTGACTCGATTCGTACAAAACCGAAAGAGTATTGTCCAAAAGCAAATGTTCGAAATAAAATATGTACTAGATAGACTACGTTTATAAGTTAGCAATTATATAAAATAACAATTAAATCCTTCGATAAGTTTAGCATATAAACATATAGTACTGATGATTATTTATGATATTGATGGAACAAATAGTGGCACAGTTTTGAGGAATGTATGTTTTGAGATGATTTACTTTTTGAATGTTCAGGCTTTTGTTAATACAGCAGCTTTTGGTGCCGGGATAATGCTTTACAAAAAAAAACATAACAAGACGCGTGATACGTATTGGTATCTCGATATCGATCAAACTAGACAAAATCTAACTCGATTCTTAGAAGTAACTATTTGTAAGTCATACAGATAACTAAGTGCAATTTAAATCAGGAATAAGGACGACCACTAAATTATTATAAAAACTTTCGTAAAGATAAAATAAATATAGCTAATCAACTAACACTTTAAATTCTGCAAGAATATAAGATGTTTGAAATTGATTTATGTAAATAGTAAAATATTACGATCATAGCAATTTCAAATAATATTTATGTTCGTATTAATAGAAATGCTTGTCCTTGTTCCTAGAATATAGATAAAATATTTTTATACTTTTGGGTTAAGTCTTGAACAAGCAATTAACTAGACAAAATCATATTATTAACTATATTCATAATTCATTATATAACTTGTCATCTATTTTACATTTTTAGCAATATGTAATTTTAAGATAAATATAATTTCATATCGTATATTACATATTACAATATTAAAAAATAACCCAAAGCATTTTTATTTGTAATTATCCTGAATTTCCTCGTAGGCAAAAAATAAAATAAAACAAGGATATACAAGAGGAAAAAAGAATTGCAAACAAAGAGTACTCACTCGTAACCGCTGATCAGACACAGTCCAAACACGGCTAGCGAAGTCATTAGACGCTCCGAGAATTAAGGTGCCAGTACTATCAAAATCCACTGACATCACACCTGCATTACTTCCTACTAAAGTCCCTCTGCTTTCAAAAGAACCTGACAAAACCATTACTTTTTTATAACAATAATAACACTCGTAACGAAATTAAAAATTTGATGCAGTTTTATATCATGCACGGGCCAGTCTTCGACACCAAATTTTGCCAATGCGACCTCCACTTTTTGTTAAATCAGTTATAATATCTATAATTTTTAATCAGTAAAGTAGAAACTGAAAAAATTGTAATAAACAGAATTAATTAGATAGAATAAAAAATATAACTATCAAGTATAGTAATAAATTATATATACACATATTATATATAATTATTATAATGTAAAAAAGAATACAGTCCAACTAAATAAAGAAACAACCCATCCAAAAATTTATAAAAACATAAAAAGCCCAAATATGCATGCCACAAATAAAAAATTAAATTGCACACAAAAAAAAAATTATAATTTAAAACATGCAAACCTTTAAACAAATAAAAATTAAAATTAAAACATGCAAACCTTTAGTTATGCTCCACAATTTAACTTTACGATCAGCTCCACCAGTTGCAACTATTCTTTCAACAGGATTCCATCGTACAGCACTCACCTCACTATCATGAGCATCCTGTAATTGATTTGAATATTTAAACATTTCATTTAATGCAACAGAAATAAATATTTAAAGCTTGAAAATATTGCATGTAACAATTATTACAAGATATAGTTATACGTTAAAAATAAAAAAACAAAATGATTGAAAAATTTTTTTATTATTGATATCTAGTTTACAAAAATATATCATTACAAAATAATATAATGATCAAATACGAACTAGAAACCATAATCTAGTGTATTTTTAATTTATAGCCATATTATTAAATATAAACAGTTTGATTATATAAACCAATCAGTATAAACTAACAAAACGGTCCAACAAAAAATAACAATCAGTCAGTTTAAAACTCCCATATACTATACTGTACTAATATTAAAACTTCAATAAAATATAGTACACTTTCCATTAAATTAAATAAATCTAAATTAAATTAAATCCCCTTATTTAATTTCTTAAAATAAATTTAATGTTATACTTTTCATAGAACTACTCCAAAATAATTCTAAATTTCATGTACAAAACGAATTTATAATATAAAATCTAATTTAAACTGACTACTTATAGACATAAAACGAACATAATAGATAATTAGTTGCAAATTTAAAAAAATAAGCTATAACGATTGGAACAGTGCCCAATTAAAACATGGTATATATTCTACCATGATTATAGTTTGTATAAAACCAATTATTACAAGCAATAATATATTACAAAATGCAATTAACTAAATATGTATTGTCATTTTTAATATTACTGTATACTCACAAATTTGCAAGAAACTTTAGAGGGAAGTGCACCACAGTAAGTTGCATTTACTAAATCTCTACTATTAGCCCTATCTGGACTAATTCCAGCTCTATTTTCTTTAGCTGCATCTTCTAATTCACGACACATTCGATCATTCCTCTTCCTGAAATTAAATAGAGGCATTCTGAAAAAACATGAAGACAATATGAACACAAATTTCTACACAAATATTGCATACAGAAGAATAGAGTGATATAGTTAACCTTTATCATTAGTGTAATACAGACATTGTTAAAACATTACAATCAACTAATAGAAAACTAAATACGTTAACATAAAATACATAATCATGCTATCTACAGTACACAAATTAATTCAACAAAGCTACTACACATAGATACAAAAATATAAATAAAAAAAATGTGAGAAGTGAGATAAAGGTTAAGCACATTTATGTTTTCTACGTAACTTACCTTAGAAAGCTTTCATTATCTTCATTCATTTTGTCAGCGTCTTTCATTTTATATTTCATTAACCTTTCTAACAAAATTCTATTTTCATCCTGTAATATAATAAATTATTTAATCAGAGCATTAATGAAGCAGACAAAATCATAAAATAATTTACAAATATAATATAATATTACATGCAAAATTATGCTATCAAAATTACGAGAGATATTCTGGTGTAGGGGCAAGAATTTGTTTTGCAATTTTTGAAAGGCTGTTAAAAAATAGAAAATATTTTTACTATATTTTTTTTGCAATTTATTAATTTATGTTTTGAGAATATAAAATGAAGATAAAAATTTAAAATATACATCAAGTTTTAATTCCAGAAGGTGATGAAGTGGGTGATATCAAAAAAATGGCACCTGACCATGCCCATGATTTTATCCCTCCTAATTATCTGAAGAAACAAATGTAAATATATTTATTAATCTAGAATAGTGTCACTATCGTATGAACCACAGACAATTAAACTTTTTTTTTACTAAATAGCTACCGTCTGAAAATTAAAAAATTGCTTTTTTGATATTCTCGATTTTTTTTCAAGTGAATCGGTCCAGTAGAAATTGAGAAATCGTGGCTATCGTATAAAAAAAACGATTTAAAAAAAAAATCCTCTTGAACACATATTCTTAAATACTTATACTTTAAAAATATGAAAAAAGTAAAAACAGTTTTCTTAAAATTCTAGAAGACCAAAACACCCCTTTAAGTCAAAATTATATCTTATAAATTGAATCAGTGAAATTTCAAAATGTGTGTAAAATTATTCATGGTATTTACTTGAGATTTTCGTAATTTCTCTTCCAAAGATGCAAATGCTAATTGCAGGGCAGTATGTTCATCTCTCAACATTGTATTAAGTACTTCTAATTCTTTTTTTCCATTTACTAGCATTTGAACTTCCGCCTGCAAGCTAGTATTTTTGATTCCAATTTCGGTAAGACTGAAAGAAAAGAAAAAAAAAAAAAAATATATATATATATATATATATATATACATATCATTGAAATAATTACAATTTGTATATTCCAACATTAAAAACAAAACACCATTAACAAAAGCAAAACATGTAGTATGCAAAATGAATTGTTAAGATTGGGATTCTTCATACATTGGCCAGGCATGTTAATATTTAGAGAAGAAACTTACACAGCATGAATTGTAATAAGGTAAATTTAATAAAACACATATATAATGCTTATATCAATAACCGAAAGATTCATTTTAATAATCCGAAAATATTATTTCACAAAAAGGACTTCTAGAATCTATGTTAATAGTTCATATCAACAACAGTGTAAATTTAATAACTGATACAATTATTTCTCACTTTTATTTAATTTACTACTTTTCACATTTGTTGATATTATGGTGCCTTTTCGTCCAGTTGTTTACGTTATAATCGTATCAATTCCTTGCCATTTACTACTTTACATACTTACATAGACAAGCTTTGTGACAAAGTTATTAGATTAAATCGATACTATCCATAACTAAACATATTTTACAATTAGTAATTTATATAATGTGTTAACCTGTTAAAAGACCAAGACGCATAAATGCATAGACGCAACTAGTATTGGTACGGGTAAAATATATAAATATTTATCATTGAAAATTAGTTTGTGCCCTGGAAAAGACTTTTGATTGACTATTAATCTTTTACTTGTCATGTGATTCATTTTATACTTACAAAACATTCACACCATATAGTGCATAGATAAATAAGCATAAATGATATAGTGTAACAATATATCTCATTGTTTATTTATTTTATGTACAAATAAAATTATAGAAATATTGAATGATACCGGGCGCCCAGTACAATTGCATAAATTGAACGAGAACTGCCGGATCAACAGTTCTATACATATTTTTTTGCTCTTATATTTTATTTTGATGATGAGAGAAGAAACGTCTTGAAACTTTTATAATTCAGTTATTTCACTTCATGTATAAAGTGTAAGTGTAGTTTATAACTTAACGTTTTATATGCATATATGAACTTAATTGTATTATTAATATACACCTATCGTTCCAGAAAAAAAACTTGTAACTCGAAAAATTCACTTTTATATGGAAAAATCGTGCTAAACGAGAATCACTATAAAAAAAGCCCTTTTTGTCAGTTTTTAATATGATGAATAACTAATCCACTGAACAGAAAATAAATATTAATATATTAAATATCAAACATATTTAATAAATTATAAGAAAATCAAACTATTTCTATAAAACTTTAATAAATATTGTATTTTCATTATAGACTAAAATTAAAATGGTTTGTACATATATAGCCTTTCTTTTACTCTCTAGTTTGTTTATTTTCCTCTTTTACCATTGTCAAATTATTTTCTTTTTTTTATAAATTAAAGATTTTGTAAAAAATGATTCTGTAACTTGTTCATCTTGAATAAATTTATGCTATCTTTTATATACAAATATTAATTAGTATTTGTTAAGAAAGTTTAAGAACAATGATGATCTTTGTTTTGATATTTCAAGCAAACTAGCTTATACACACATAACATTCAGTTTTGATTATAAAACGGGAAGTTTCCATCTTAATCTATAGATTTCAATCATAGACATGGACTACTAAAAACTAGTAACTGTAACATATGTTTTGTAGTGTTGTATGTTGACAGTACAACAATAAAAATGTTATTGTAGATATAAGATGTACAACCATCTTAACATTACGCCACTGGATGCTAGAAGAAAATACCTCACCTTCTGCTATGGAGTAAATATTGTGAAAGGTGCTTTAGATGTGCCTTTGTATGATAAATTTGAACGCTTCAAATTTATCATACCTAACGGTAGGCTACGTTACAATAGAACTTTGGAAATACCCACAGTTAAAACCAAATTTGTTTCACGCGTACCCATGTTCAGAATATCAAAAATAATAAATAAATTTGCTTGTGAGATTGATATCTTTAGTCTGACGGTGACAAATATAAAAAATCAAGCCAGAAAAATTATCCTTAAAAAAAAGACTGTCTTAAGTAGTGATTTATAGTTTATTAAATGTTTAATTTTATAAATTTTTATTTAATGTTATATATTTGTAGTTTATATATATTAAGTGTTATGTATATATATACAAATCTATCTATAAACTCTTAATACTCAAATTTTCTCATATTATCTTTAATGTACACTTTAAAATGTAATTATATTGTATTATTGCCTTGGGCGTTGAATAAATAAATAAATAAGCAAATTATAGTTTAGTGTTTATAATTTCGTGTAAATGCAAAATTATTAAATTTGTAAAAGCAATTATTAAACATGTAAAATGAATATCGTGTGAGGCAGGAAAAAGTGTAATCTGTTAGCAAGCAAGTAGTTTCCCAAAGAGTATTATGAGAATTTTGTTTAAAGCTTCATACTACATATATAAGTGCAAAATATTAAATACACCTAAGTCTGTTTTTACACGATCTTTTTGTACACGGTTTTGGTATAACACGGTTTGAAAATTGAATATTTTTAATTTTTTTACACGATTTTATTCCATTTAGCACGATTTGAAATTTTATGTACTTAAATTTTTTTGTCAAATTTAATTTTTGCGATGTATGTTCATATCACAAAAAAGTACTTATGAAAGAAAAAAGTCTGAAACCATCGATAGTATCGATAGTTTGCGAACACTAGCTTAAAGATTTAAGTGAATTCCCCTTTAGCGCGTACAAACAATTTTTACTGGTCAAAGCAAATGTGAATAGCACTAATTTAGGGGAATTATTATTAAAATAAACATGAATTCTTGTTCTTAGTAGAGGAGTAAGACAAATCACCCATTTTTGTATAAGATCAATGTCTTTTTTTACACGTTTTTTTTTTTTACACGGCTTCTTCTGGAACCGATCTCCGTGTGAAAACAGACTTAGGTGTATTTCAATTAAATAATGATTCGTAAAAAGTCAAAACAAACCTTTGTTCTTTACTGGTTAGTTTTTTTGTCAATTCTTGTAGCTGAGCATTTAAATCAATAATTTGTTGTGCATTTTCACCTTTTCTTCTATGCAATTCTGTTAATTCTTCCTGTTGGCTCATACATTTTTGTTCTAAAACTGATATTCGAGAAGAAGTATCATTACTATGGCTTCCTGGTATTCCAGAACCGGAGCGTAATTTTTCATTTTCAATGGTCAATTGCAAATTCTCTGTCCTTAGGGTGGTTACATTATCAAATAACCTGTTGTCTAAAAGAAAAAAATGGTGCAAATTAAAAACATTGTTAATATGGTTTTTTTAGGTTAACTTACGCAGAAGGATTAATTCCTGGAAATCTTTAGTCTCACGACCATCCCTTTCTCTTAAATCTTTTAAAATATTTTCACGCCAATTTGTTTGATCAGCTGACATTGTTAATAAGTTAATAAAAAGCAGTCTTACAACTAATGAATAAAATTAGACATAAAAGCGCGAATAACAAATAATAATAATAGATCATGAAATTTGTGTTAAATGTACTGTAAAATATAGCATTATTTTTTTTCTATTGGTAACTCGTCATTCTTTTTGAATATTATTTGAAAAAAATAACAAAATAATTATTTATTTCAGTCATTTCGTTTGACACTTGAACATATTGGACACACAGAAAGTTGAATGCATACACAGCCATGCATATGTGATTTGCACAATAGATTTTATTACATCATTTTATTACAGTTGAAGGAAATTACATTCAAATTAAATTTTAATCTCATCCGAACCAGCAAAGGTAACGTTAAAAATAATAATTATTAACATTACTTCAATATTAAGCGTTTTTTTTTTTATAATGTTTTGATGCATGTTTTGCGTTGTACTTTCGGTACAAGGTTATATTTTCTATCTACCATCGAGTACATAATTAAATTGTGGTTTTTGTATTTAGATCAACACATTATAATGGCATCAAAGGATTCAAAAGGTAAATGGTGCTGTGGTAAGCTCTCTCTGAAACCATTGACAAAAGAAAACTTAGTCAAGTTCTACCTCCCTGCACAGGGCTTTGTTACTTACACTGGGCTGTCAGTGAGTGTAATCAGTCCAGGATTTTATACAGAGTAAGTATAAAATATACAGTAGAATCCGCTTAGTATGACATCAAAGGGACGCCGAAATCGCGTCATACTAACCGGTCGTCATTAAAAGCGTACTGAAAGAAAATTATACTGTCTAAACCCAATGAACAACACATAACATACATAAAAGAAGCATCTATCGAACTATGTTCAGAAAAACTTACATACATACGTACATAATTCCTAATTATATAAATATTAAATTTATTATTTTTTAAACATTTGGTATCTGACCCATTTACCTCACATACGGGTTAAAGTGGAACAACCAGGGGGCGAACAGATGCAATTTCTTCTATTAAATTTTAAAGGCATTTTACGCTACATTATTGAACCAACGCAAAATATTAATTCTGTGGGTACATTTGTTAAAAAGACAACACAGTACATTACATTGATCTGCTATCAGTCAGAAATATTTATCAGAAGAGCCGGAATAACAATTTATTCAATTATTCTCTTGTAAAATTGTTTTTTTTTTAAACTTTACTATTTTATTGCTTACACGCTTACACCATTGCCAAAGTAAAGGTTTAGCTGGTCCTTTTTATCGCAGTCATGTGCTGCTTATCTTCTGATAGCAAAGCCATAAGAATAAAGGTGATGGCTGGTTATGAATTTATACATTTTTCGCCCTCTACTATCAAATATAATTGTTAAAAAAAATCTAATTTTATTTGTTTATGAGATATCCGTGGTGGGCCATTAATAATTAGTCTACCCTACCCATAAACATACAAATGTGATTTTTTAATGTAAGTAATCAGTAATTTTTGATTGATTTCTTTACATAATTTTATTGTAAAAACAGTCCCTGGTGCTATTGTGCACAAAAGACATAGCAATTGCTTTCGTAAACTTGGCCACATCATGTAAAATCTTGTCGGTCATTATAATTGGATATATTTTTTTGCAAAAATGGGTCATTATAAGCGACATGTCAATGTAAGCGATGTCAATATATCCGACTATACAGCTGTTTTTTTAAGGAATTTTATATGGAAACCAAATTCCTAGTGCGATTACGTCATATTAAGGGGTTGTCAATATATCCGCCGTCATACTAATCGGATTCTACTGTACAATTTACTTAGACTATTAAGTTATTTATTTATTGATGGTTCACTTATTATTATTCACTTGAATTTAGTGTTTTGCCGAAGAAGGATATGACAAATCTCTTGCTTTTGGCGTCTGTTGTCGGTTCTGGAGCATATTTATATAGTAGAAATCATATGGAAAAACTTCCACAAGATAAGAGAGTTCTTTACAGGTAAATAGACATGTTTTGAATATAACATTCGAAATGTAGATACAGGTAACCCCCGCATTACACGGATTCGCTCTAACACGGTTTAAAAATTGAGACCATCCCGCTCATAATATGGTACTTTTGGATTTGCATAACACGGTTTAAGAATTGAGGAAGGTTTTAATAAAATAAATATAGTAAAACCTATGAAACGCAAACTTTATTTAATCTAAAATCAGTAAATTTGCCATACAATATCTCAATAAACGTGATGAAACTAGTGCAAAATATAACTAATTTGGTACATTTTATTAGAACGCGTAATTCTATAAAAAAATAATATATTAAATAATTCTTAAGCAATTTTTTAAATAAAATGAGCATAAAAGTTTAATATGGATTACTTTATATGCACGGACCTCGAGGTAGTATAGAAAACTGCTCAGAGGATGAGGATATCTTGCAAAAAAAGGATCATGTTGGACGTTACTTATTATGACAATAACAATCATATAATTCAAGTAATTTATATTACTTATTAAAAAAATGAACAGATTTAACAATATTTATTATAAAATCATGATATGTAGCATGTTTTTTTGAATTCTTGGAAAGTAACCCCTTTTTTGTACTAGTTCTTTGTCCCTTATTCGCATAACATGTTAGTTTTCTGAGACATAACTTGTACGGGGGTTACCTGTAGATAATTTTCTTCGCGTTTTGTATTGGTTATTAAAGACATTGTTTATGAGTTACTCCAATTAATATACAATATCACAAGGAATTGATTCATAATTTGTGGTAATAAATATATGAATGTTATCTCAATTCGAGATTGAAAAAATCAGATCAAAATATTATCAACTGCGAAACATAAATAGCAACAATATCAAAATTGGTTGCTGATTTTAAGAGGTAACACTACTGCCTAAGTAAATGTGTTTCACATTTTTTATGGGTGGAAGGAAATGGAACAAAAACAAGTAATCATCTGAATAACAAATTAGATGATAATTTAAAAATGATGGCAACACATCCAGCGTGGAATTTGTAGTGTAGCTGCTGCAAATTTGAATCTAGAAAATATTGATTTTTGTGTGATTGCTTGAGCAACTTGAATTAATGAAAAATTTGTAGTAGTGTTACCCCTAAATAAATACATTACAGTTATCAACTTACTTTTTCTAGTGGTTTCGGTGCAGTCCTTTTTACATTTGGTTCTGTACTCTTGTGGGCAATTATAAGAGGTGCCTTACCCGACCAATCCAATGCGGCTGCTGGAGTGACATTGGGAATTGCTTCTAGTCTGGGCCTAACAAAACTTGGAATGAGCTATTTGGAAGAGATTGATAAGTCTGTAGTCAAGAAGTGAAGTGAAATCTAAAATTGCTAGTAGTTCTTTTTAATTTTACATTTTGATAAAGTATTTGTAGTTATTATTGATAATCTTGATGCCTTGATGTAAGCTTGTATGTTATTATTTATAATCTGTGAAAAATTTATTGTTATTTGAAGACACTGGAAATCTGAACTAAATAAAACAGGTATAATTTGCCTTGTACAATTTAATTGACCCTAGTTCATTTATACACAAATTTGCATATAACGTAAGACAATTTTCAATAAATACTGATATTTGAGATAAATAAGGAATTATCTCTACAACTTGAAATATAAAAACAATAGTTATTTTTACACACATTTCTATAAAATGGAAAGTTGCATGTTATTAACTGGTATGTGCTAAATTGATGAAAAAAATTATATTAGCACAGCTTTGCACATTTTGTTTCCATTGCACTCACATTTAACTTTTAATGTGTTACATTTTTTCTATACCCCATGTTCTGTTGCATTTTTTCTATTCGTTTAACATTGATTTCAAATATAGTCAGCTAAAATTATTAGCTTGGATGATCAGACAAATTTGCTTGTGGAATAAAAACATGCAAATTTCTCATTAGTACTTAAAGGTAAAGTTTGCACATAAATATTTAACATTTTACACTGTATTACACTATTTTTTTAAAAAAAAATTAAACTAAAAATGTTTGATTTGTTGTTATGTGATAGAAGGTTAAATACGATCCGTAAGAAATAATTAAATAATAGAAATGACAAAACAATTTGTAACAACATATAGCTTGAGGTTTGTTTATATGTTCAACTATGTTACATTGAATATGTAGGTTTATATGGGCATGATTCATGCTTATTCATTATTAGAAAAGTATTGTCATCATCAGTTTGTAAAGGCGCTTTATACTTATCTACAAAATTAGAATAATCAAAAAAGATTTTAACATAATTTTGCAATATGTATTTGACATGTAGGCCAAATCAAAACAGATAATTTTGATAACGTTATGGCAAAATCTAGCACTGCCAAAATACTATTTTATTTAACAAATTTGTTAATAATTATTAAAATGTATTCATACACGCATACAACTTGCAAACATTTTCTTATGCACATACATTCTACACATATAATACTTATAATACATGTGTCTTTTACACATATTACTGTATGTGCGCTCTCACTTTAATAAAATAAATTTAATAATATGTATGAAAAAATAATGAGTTTATCAGTAAAAAAATAAACCTATTTAGTTTTGAAATCTTTAGCAATGCTATTTAAAGTGTTATTCCATTATAACTAAAATAACATCTTAAAATATTTTTGGTTGTTTGGGAATATTCATATAGTATAACAAAATATACAGACGTCTTTGTTCAACAGCTTAATAAAAATATACTATGATATATTTTCATAAAAAACAACAAGATATCCAACTAGCCCAGCTTTGTGTGTTGTATTTAGCCCAAAACTAGCTAATAAAATTTTGAACAAAATGCAAGGGTATAAAAATAATTACAATACTATTAGATGCCTCTCGTATTAACTATGTAGCATGAATTACATTCCTGTCTCTGCTACCAATTCACTATCTCTTTCTCCAACTAAATAGAGAAATTGGAAACCAATTGCCAATAGTGAGATTCCAAGCAAATCGCCAAGTGATGTCAAGTACGGGATTGCAGAATTATCAGGGTCAATTTTATGTTTCCACATCCAGTGTATTAGAATATAGGCAACATATAATAAAGCTGCAACCTATAACGGATAATTATGCATCAAAATATAGAAATAATAAAATCAGTAAATAATGAGAAAAAAGAAATAATGCCCACAACTCGCATTTCAGAACGATAATAGCATTTCCTCAAAATGTAACACAAATTTTTATTATAATAGTTCGAAATAATTGCAGGAGTCTAATTTTAAAAATATTATTAAATATTAAGCATTATGAAATATACTATATGAATGTTTGCAACTAATGATTATCATTTAACATTATATAAGCATATCTACTTAAAATCAAAGTATCTATAATGTAATTAAATTAATAGTTATTAAAAATACTTCCACACTTAATAACAAAGTGAATGAATGAATAAGTACTATACTAAAACACTTACTTGAAGCAGGGCTGCGCATAAATAAACAAAAACAAACAAGGGTGTAAGGGAGGAATGTCCAGACTTCATGTAGTTTATTGTATATATGAAAATCAGATGACCGGGAATAACCATTGACATCAAAACTCTAGTTGTTCTAGCATGCATCCCTGTAAAATATGAATTGATAATTAAATGATAATTCACAATATTAGTTATTAAAATATAATTTAAAAAAAACTTTGAATAATTGTTGTATGAAAAGAAATCATTAATAATTTTAAATATGCATACCACTTCCACAAAAACTAGCAACAGGCGTAATAAACATAACGGCATCATCACCTCCAACAAGTGTTCCTAGTTCAGACTCTTTGTGCAGAGCAGTGGAAATACGAGAAGCCTGAAAATGTAGTACATATATTTATAAAAAGAAATATTTTCGTACGAATATTAAATTGACATTCTTCAACCGGCAATTATAATATATATATATATATATATATATATATGTATGTATATATATATACACATATTATCAACATACTTTCTAAATATTGCACGTAAGTAGCATATACAAAAATAATTTTCTTTTCAGTAATTTAAAAAAATGTGCACTAAAAGTGATTGTACCTGTACAGCAACTAAATTTCCTCCAACTCCATTAATAACTGGTTGAAAGACTGCAATCCCTTCAAAGCGAGATACCATAAAATCTAGAATAAGACCGCCTACAGAGCTAATCAGCATTGCGGTTAATACTGGTGTCCATCCATTATATAATACATCACGAGTGTGTTCGTTCTTCTTCGCAATCCAAACCCACAAAGGCGTAACAAGAATATAACTTGATATAATTAGAGGTGCTAGCCAATCTTGATTACCTATGAAAAATATAAATGTTTTAAAAGATTTAAAAGAAATAAATGCATGACAAACTTAAAGATGATAATGGGGTATGTGATGTGACTATTTTATTAGAACACGAGTACTATATTCTTCTGAAATAAAATTAAGAGAAGAAATTTCATCATAAACTGATAATCAAAAATTGCTTCAAAACATTTGTGTTCTCAAAGTGTTGGAATTTAACTAGATTTGTACAATAAAATTCAATTTTAATAGATAATCTTGCAAAAAAGAATGATGTATGTAAATGCATTAAAAATTTTTTTAATAAAACTTTAAATCATTAAATGCATTAAAAATTTTTTTAATAAAACTTTAAATCAATCCTAGGAGATCTAGTTTTAAAATAGTCTGATATGGGTTTGAAACCTATTGTTCCAAGAAACTAATCATATCTTTAACATTTTTGTAAGTTCAATATGTAAATCAATATTGTTCATTGATCCGTTTTATCTTTTTCTATACCTATTGATTCGTATAGTAACATTGAGATCCACGATAGTAATGCCAGTGATGTTATATCTCCAAGACTTGCAGCAATCGGCGTGGCAACATTGTCCGGATTTATTTTACAGTGTCTGGAGAATACTATAACTCCTGCAGTGATTAAGCCTACATAAAAGTATAAAGCATTAATATATATATATATATATATATATATATATATATATAATACATTAATCATATCTGTATTGTAGATTTAAAAGTTTACAAACCTAAAACAAAGCTCGCTAAAGATGCCGTGACGAGACTGCTAGCGCAAAGTAAATAAGCGTGATCTAATTCTACTGCGTTGCTTTTGATTCCACCCATGACAACGGCTACCACAGATCCCAAAAATCCTACGACAATGGCTTGGCACTGAAATAAATTAAAAACATTTACAATATTTGTTTATATATGATATCCAACAATTATAGAAGTTTATTGCCGTAAGAAAAGTAGTAATTTTTAATGGAACAAATCAAATTTAAACTTCTATACAAAGTCATGTTAAAACCAATTTGGACGTACGGAATACAGCTTTGGGGAACGGCGCGCAAATCCAACATCGCCATAATTCAAAGATTTCAAAACAAGGTTTTGAAAGAAATTATAAACACACCCAAGTATGTCCCAAATTGGTTGGTTCATACAGATTTGCACATGAACACAGTTAAGGAAGAAATTGAAAAATGAGATACAAGGATAGAATACAGAACCACCCAAACATCATAGCCAAAAATTTAATGAAAAGACATGGTATCGAACGGCTCAGAAGGAAACGGCCTCTTTTTGATATCCTTTAGTAATCCTATAATATGTACAATTAATTACTCATAGGCTTATTTAAATTTTTTCACATCAGGACTACATCTATAAGCTAAACATATCCAACATCGAATCGGATAATCACTGGGTGACCTTTCGACCTTTTTTCCTTATTTAATAAACCATTAAAATTACTGAATTACTGAAAAAAAAATTAAAATTATTTTACCTGTATGAGTGTTAAATTTCCGACAATCATGCTCCACTGTTGTTTTGGAGTATCCATATTCCCAAGATTAGCTTGCGTGGAAAGTCGCGATGCTAGAGTCATCTCCAAGTTACCTTTCAGGCCGAGCAATGCAGGCACCAATATTACCAATTCCGTGATGTTTTCGAACACCGTCCAGTGCTAAATAGTTAAACAATATTTGAATATACATGGTTAATATACAAATAAAAAAAATTGAATAGGAAATATTTTTTTTTTTGGCCTCCGTTAAAAATTTATCCACATAAAAAATAAATATGTTTCATTTATAGAACACTATAAGTAATTATAAATAATTATAAGTTCTCAAATAAAAATATATGTATACAATAGTTTATCAATTATTGAAAAAAATCATTTAATTGAGCAACATACAGTAGAACTCCAATTATCCGAACTCCGACGATCCGAATCGCCGATTATCCGAATCACTTTCAGAAAAAAAATTGTCCAAAAAAGTCTAAGTGCGCTATTATTCTTCCACCCGCGAAGCCAGTGTAGGCACATTGTTTGTTTTGATTTGACGGAGATGTTTAAAAAACAATGATTTTTATTTCTAAACTTGTACATAAGTACATTTTATTTATATTTAAAACATGTGAAAATATCATGTTTCTTTCATTTAATTCA